TGTTATTACACTTTTTCCCTTTATGAATGAGAATCATGTTAGATTAAACAAGTTTTTTGTTCTGTTGTTTTGCACTTAGATAGAATGGGTCGTCATTGGGCGAACAGAAGATCATTCTATCAGTCACTTGCGAAACAAGAATTGTGGTTCACAACCTAGATGGAAATGAACACCCCATCCGAACAGTTATAGTGTCACTGGTACAGTTGGTCTTGACTGATTAGTTGCACTAGTATATTTATGTATTGAACATGATCCTAGAAAGGAGAAGTTCGTTTTATACTGATCATCGTAAACGAACTAGGCCTCGATTAATTACTGTGTTCTCTTAACCCGTAAGATATTAAACATTGCTTTGAATCACTTGGGTGAAGTTCAGTTCGCTGGATTAATATTCCTACTGTCTTGGGCAATATTACTATATATAGGATGTGTTGTTAGAATATTTACGGTCACCATGTGCGTAAGTTTAATGATGTCGTCGGAGTGAGTTCATGAAAGATTGTTATGCTAAACCCTGCAAGTGGATTAAGTTCCATCATAATAATAATGTGATGAACAAGCGCCAGCTTCAGTGAAATAATAATAAATTAATTAATTCTTGATTGTCAGTAATCGAATTAATTAGTTGACATTATATCTTAAACGTGGGGAGGTAAATCGAGTAATTATAATTGGACTTTCAAATGTAAATTGGGTTACGAAAATGGAGTGCAATAAAATTATGTTGGTGGCCCATAATATTATTTAATTAATTGAAAGAGTGAGTTTGGCCCACAGTTAATCTAATTAATTAAAGAATCATATTCCTAATCTTCTAAGGGTCCCTACTATAGCTCTATATGTCATTAAACTCATGAGAAGAGAAGAATAATTCGTTCTCACGTAAATAGGAGTCGCACGCCTCTCTCTCTCTCTCTCTCTCTCTCTCTCTCAGTTCTCATTCGAGCTTTATCTTCTTCTTGTTTCTCCACTGATACAAGTTGAAGAGAGTATTTGAGTAATACAGTAGAAGATCCATAGGTAATCGAGACCCGATAATCTTGTACAACAATCAACGATCCACAAGCCTGAGCCCGAGGACCGCTGGCAGCCGACGCCGCGAGCCAACTGAAGTGCCGCCGTGACCAGCTGACCACTGCCGGCGATCAGAACCCGCGACACGCGACCAATCGGCGAGACACGATCGGCGCACGACAGCCACACACAACCCGATCGCGATCAACACGAGCCCGAGACGTTCCGTTCGTGATCTAGTTTCGTTCGTGTGCTGTTCCCGGTCATCTCGAATCCGACAGATTCAGAAATTTTTAGCCGTAAGTTTTCTACGTCAAACATTTAGATCCGTTGCGCATAGGTTTACGTTTGCTTTTGAATTCGTGATTTGTACATAACGAGATCCTCACAGATCCCAACAGGACTGACAACCGCCGGTCCATTGGAGGAGGTCGTCGCCGACGAGAGAGTGGGGAGGGAGGTGGTTGGGAGAATTGGGTTTGTTTTTGAGAATTTGATAGATTATAAAGATTCAATAGCAATTTTAAAAAACTTTGGTAAATTACAATTGCGTTCAAGTGTCAAATATGTAATTAATTGAAATATGTGTAGTATTTTATTAAATAATAATAATAATAATAATAATAATAATAATAATAATAATAATAATAATAATAATAATAATTTTAATAAAATTATATAAAAATAAATATTATGTGGTGGTTCGATTAATTCAACTTTTGAAAAATTTCCGATAACTGAGTTTTTAAAAGTAAAAAGATAATAATAATCGAATTGAAATATGGAATTTTGAACCAAAAATTTTAATTTGATAGTTTTGGTTCAATGTTGTTCAATCTGATGGTCATTAGTAAGCAACTCGCCTAACACTGTTGTACACTCATATAGCAAACATCTATTCCAAGCAAAATAAATCCTAATATTACTAATCGGTTAACTGAATTACCCTAAATAATTGAAATAATTTATTATTTGTATTAAAGTAAATATATTTAATAGTTTAGTATTTATATTTTATATTATATATTATTTATGGTTGAAAATACATGACATATAAAATACAAAATTGATATTGTGCATTCAAACAGATACTAATGTGCATTTAGTCTAACATTATTGTGCATAAACTGATATTATTTTTTTATGTGCAACTTCAATTGTTAAAAATTTAATGTGTATCTCAATTATGATTATTGAGCATTTATAGAATTTTTTATATTATAAAAAGTATATTTATTATTTTAATAAGTATATTTAATAATTATATTATTTTAAACTTATAGATTTTATATTATTGTGCAGTCTAAACTGATCGACTTTTTTTTTTATGTCACAAGTCAAATTGAAACTTAATAGAATTACTCTGTTTATTCGGTCAACTTTAATAATGCATATTTCAAGTAACATTATATTGTGCAGTCTGTTAGTCAATAATGTGCATCATGTTTAACACTACGGTGCATTATGTGGAATGTGTTTTTTTATATGCGAGATACAAACTAAAAGTGAAACAAAAATAATCAATTCAATTGGGTAACCGTACTAACATAAATAGTCGAAATAACTCATTATTTGTTTTATAAAAAAATATTTAATATTTCAATATTTGTCCATGAATATGCATTTACTAAAAATTTTGTGATAAAAAATTAAATATTTGGCCATGAAATAAATTGAAATCAATTAAAAATTTTGAAATTGCATATATGCCCCTAAACAATCTAATTTTCAAACACAATCAATAACTCTAAACCCCCAAATCAATTTGGAGGTTTTTTTGCAGCACGTCAGTCCATCTCTGGATCAACCGTCGCGACCGTCGGAGGAGCTACACCTCTAGCCGATGACACCGTCGTGACCGCAGCCGGCCGCCGTGCCTAGACACCAGCCTGAGACCTCCGCATAAGAGAGAATGAGGACAGCCTAGGACCTCCTCATACGGTGGTGGCGCCGCCATAGTCCCGACAGCGCATTAGCCCTGGACGCTGCACCCTCCCAAACGTCTTTGGCTCTTGGATGCTCGGAGAAAGAGGTGGCGTGGCGGCCGCAGCCGTGTTGGTGCTATCGGAGACAAGCGCTGGGAGATACCATTATCGAAAAATACGAGCTCGTCCTCTCAGACATCGTCTGCGGTGGAAGTACTATTTGGAATTGAAAGGCAGCGGAGGCCGGTCGACAAAAGAGAGAGGACGGCGGCGGAGGCCAGCCGGGGAAGGAGATCGAATAGCGGCAGAGGCCAGCCAGCGGAGAATATAGGACAGTGGCGGCGCCGGAGGCCGGCTGTGGCGACTGACCTCCGCCTGTGTGTGTGTGTGTATGCGTATATGTTTGTTTTATGTGTGCAGTGTGAGTTTTGTGTGTGTTTGTGTGTGTGCGTATTTTGTGTGCTGACTGTGTGTGCAAGTGTGGTGTGCGTGTGTCAGAGTGTGTTTTGTGTGTGTGTGTGTGTATGCTGATGTGGCTTGGGACCCACTAGTGAGCGGGATGTTTGGATGGTAATTGTAATGTCTAAATTACCCTTAATGAATAAATAAATGCTATATTTTTTTTAGCCGTTTGATCATTTAATCTAATGGTTATGATGTATTCTTATTTCTTTCACTGAGCACCATTCTCACTTGAGCGTCCATGTTCCTCCTTTACATTACTAGTATTCAATCATGTGCGCATGCACATATGCAAATAAAATTTTACATGTTATATGTATGTGTATGTAATATTTAAAATTGTAAGTCAGATAATGAGCATATCACATTTTATAAATTTTATCATTAGTAAAAATGCACGATATAAACTATTAACTTACTATTGATCTTTATATTGATTGCAATAATATAATTTTTGCAATATGGGTACAATATTAAAACTATTATTATAGAAATTGCGTAAGAAATTTCATAATTGATTATATCATAACAATAATTAACTGTTCTAATAAAAAAAAACTTTCTTATTAATGAAGATACTTACTTTAAATTAATTATTTTTAACCTGCCACACTTTATTAGCTTATTTCTATTTATTTATTATTTAAATATTCGGTAAATTCCTTACGATTTGTAATCTACCACACCACACGTTATTAGCCTATTTTCAACAACAACAACAACATACCCAGTATATTTCCAGCAGGTTGGGGTCTGGGGGTCAGTTGTACGCAGACCTTACCCTTGTAATTATACAAGGAGACTGTTTCCGTAGCGACCTACATGGTTATTAGCCTATTTTCATTTATTTATATTTTAATTTTTAGTTTAATCCCTTGCGACAAAACAACTGCCTCTATTGAGTAGTTATATAGTACAACAGCCCCATATAAGTGGCAAAATTGTATAAAATTGAGGGAATGATACCTTGAAAACCCCACGATCCAACCTAATTTTGTGACGTACGTGTGGGAACCACTATACTATAATATTGCTTCTCCAATTGTGTATTCATGCAGCAAGCAAGGAAAGCGCTGGAAAGAGGCTACTGAGTTCCTAGCCGCAGGCTGCTCCACGCCCCGAGCCTTGCCGAGGTTGCACCATGGGCGGATGTGGCTCAGGTTGTTAAGTAAGATCATACCAGATGCCAAGGGTTCACCAAGACTAGAAATCTATTATTTTATCGTTTTGAATGTGGGCCCAATTTTGTAATAACATGCTCACCAATTTTGTAATAACATGCTCACCAATTTTGTAAGTGTCAAACAAACATGCTCTTAATAACATCGTTCTGAATGTTGGCTCAACTTTATTACTTACGTAAGTGTCAACAAAAAAGTACAAAACTGTCATAATCAAAAAAATCAAAGGTCACACATCAGTCAATAAATTGTAGAAAGACCGTATTTTTGGCATAAGACTCGTGGAGTTCAATCTGAACAATTCATCTTTTTCCTTCACCTCTATACAAACCATAGGAGCACTGGCCAAAAAACCCAGATCCCTAATTAATATCCATATTACTATTACCATTAGTATTATTAATTATCAACATAGATGGATAAAGTTAGTGAAGCTGTGAGCGGAGCCGCTGTAGGTGTGGCTTTGGAACTGCTCCTGATATCAATTTGGAAGCTAGCTTGGTTCAGCAGTGTCCTCAACCGCTTAAAATCAACTGTCAACTTCATCGAACCTAACATCGCCGAAAACGAGCTTTTCGATCGAGCGAGGAAGATGGTGGACAGGTGTTCCGTGTTGAGATGGTGGAGTTTTTTTAAGATATTATACTACTCGGTGAAGATAAGCCAACTGGAAGCTGAGCTGAGCAGCTGAATGAGCTCCACAAGATTGGAAGTGCTTTGGAGGAGAAAGTGAATGTGGTGACTCAGTTGGAGCACAAGGTTAGTAATTTGGAAGCCAAAGTGAGTGAATTGTGTGCGTTTGCCAATGATCGGGATACTGCCAGTGATTCTACTTAGATAGCCTTACATTTAATGTT